TATAGAGGACTACAAAACCCAGCAATAGTACAATATACAGCGCAATGCAGAATACCACCAGCTATAGAGGAGCACAAAAAATCCTTATAGCTGGTGGTATTCTGCATTGCGCTGTATAATGTACTATTGCTGGGTTTTGTATTCCTCTATAGCTAGTGGTATTCGGCATTGCACCACTGTATAATGTATTATTGCTGGGATTTGTAGTGCTCCTCTATAGCTGGTGGAATTCCGCATGGCGCTGATTAATGTATTATTGTTGGGATTTGTAGTCCTCTATACAGCGCAGTATACCACCAGCTATAGAAGAGTACAACAAATCCCAACAATAGTACATTATTGACAACTTTTTCAATAATCGATTAGTTGTTGCAGCCCTACTTTTAATGGCTGCTGTGATTTACTCAAACACTCTTTTTGCACCATATTAATACAAGAGTCCAAGCTACTGGACTATTACAAGTTTTCAGAACCACATATCTATATATTCCATTCAGAATTAATGGCGGATTAACAAATACAAAAAAAAAAAAACACCACCTACCTCCATTGCATGTGCAAGACGCTCTTCAAGAGCCATGTAAGTAAGAAACTGAGGATCCATGTAGGACATAGCTTGTGCTACACCAATACCTTCACCAAAGTCATCCAGCAATCTAGGGTTAAGAAAAATAAAAAATAGCTAAAATCATACTAGTTGGTTTTCCACACAAATGTACATGCTAACAGCGCTTTATTTATAACTAAATGGGTGAATTACTTTATATGTTTCTTTATTATGCAGATAATGCTTTACAAAACACAACCCTAATGTAGTTTTGTGGGGAAAACCCCCCCACACATTTATGGAATCCCCATACCTATGAAAAACCTTTTTGGGTGCCATCATGAATTGTTCCCTGATGCATGTAAAACTAGAACAAATTCAGACCAGGAAATACAATCCCACACATAAATGTTTTAGGTTTGTGGCTAGTCCATATGTATTTAAAAAAAAAAAAAAAATTAAACTTGCCGATAACATTACAAGTCTGCATGGATAAATTCCTGACATGTCAGAACATACTTCAACAGTATAATCATTTACCAATAACTAACTTTTACCATTAAAAAGCAGTCCAGTCTTTGGCTAGAAGACATTTCTTCAGGTCTCCCCTCCCTTAGTGATCAGTCACTGGGAGTGTTTTAAGGTTCTAACTTTGTTGCTGTTCACAAGGTCAGTGGACAGCAGCAGAGGCCCAATGTGCAGGGCTTGAAAAATCCTCTCGTCCCAGGCGTCGGAAAATAGGAATTCCACACCCCTGCGTGTATACCCGACTTTACAGATAAGCATTGCATGCACATAGTAAAATGAAAAATACCATAAACTAAACAAGTATACATTTTCCTTCGGTAGGTTTTGCCAGTTACTAGATCGATAGTTGACATTTCCTAGTTACTTTGTAAAATTTCAACACAGGCTGTAGACTGAATATCATTTTTGGATTCAAGCGCCGATTTAAATTTTTTTATAGCTTGAGGCATTGCTGCTGTGGTGGAGTCGTCCATTGTGTTGGCAATTATACATTTATTGAAGTTTGTTTCCTTTATGACTGACTTACAAAAAGGAGTTGAATTCATAGCCATGTGGATGAATTTAAAAATTAAGGAGCTATATGCTGACAAATAATAGAAGGATCTAGGTGTATAACCCTATCTGGGGACACTTCTGCTGACATGGAGGAATACTGCATATGTTGGCAGCTTTGCATCCACTAATGTGATCAGTTTCCTGCTTGTGGATATGCAATATTTATATCAAGTGAATTGGAATAGACCTGAAACCTGTTTCGGCATTGATTACACAAAAACCTGGTTCTTTCAGCACAGTCTCTCTCAAAAAGGCAATAGTTAATATGCATAGAATTTCTCTGGGGGTATCATGTGAAGTCAGCTTGGTACACAATTACAGTCATGGTAGGCCTATAATACATGGAAGTGATAATTATGTATAGACATTCTTTTGAGCACATACTGTATAATAAACACAGACAATTTATACAACTTTACATATGGGTACAAAATGGTAAAGATATATGGACTTAATCTAGCCAATTTAATGATTTACAATATGGTTTATTCTGGAACTTTGTTTCTATAGAATTACAGTTTTAGATTTACACTTTGTACTGCCTCAAGGTGGCCGTACACCTTACAATCATCGTTCATTTTTATTTGTCCTGTCATCGTACCCTCGTTCAATTTCTGCACAAATAGCCCATCATGCACAGACAAATGTAGATTTCGATAAGTGATCGTCAGCAATACTAACTGGCCGAATTTCTTCGATCAACAGAATATATTTTTTTTGCGCATGTGCAGTGTTCATGTTGCGATTTTTGTTGTGCAAAAAACGCCACAAATCAGTCGATTTTCAGCGAAAGTTTTCTAGTCTCCCTGTTTAACCAAATTTGGCCAGTTGTACAGTTATTGCGATCATGCACTCCACCATCAATTGGCCGATTATGGTACGACAAATGGATTGCATGTTTAACAGCGCATTTTTGCCCCATAGACTTCAATGGAAATGGCCGAAAACACACAGCAGAAATAAGTTGAACCTTTTCATGTGCGTTTTACACGTGCTCATGTTTCCGACGCTGCCAAAACATGCGTCTTCATGTACACGCGTGTCAAACTGTGCAAAACGCACATAAACTTGCAAATAACCTGAACGTGCATGTACAAACGCGCAAAAACGATGCCACCTAGGTGTGAACCTGGCCTTACTGAAAAAGTATAATTCTTTCTGCAATCTTTGTTGTGAGAGCAGAAGGACAACAGGTGAATAACTGAGAGAAGTCTGCCTTATTTTTTCAGAGTAGATGCAGCAACTGGGGCTGCTAAGCAAAGTACACCACAGCTAAATTTGGTATGCCCATAAGTATAACAAACTGCCAGCATCCACATTATGTAATTCTTACATCAGTCTGATAGTACAAACTTACAAAAAGGTGGTTAGACAGTCACCCAAAAGCATATGATAGTAATAGTAGGTAGACACGTAATAAAGCTTTACCTCCATTCAACTTCTAGGTCTTCACTCATACTTGAATCATCTTCTAAATTATTATTGCCATCTAAAATAAAAAATCCTGGGGGCAAATAATGGTTTCCAATTTCATTTTCTTCATCTGTGCTGCTCTCAACGTCTTCATGATACTGTAACCAAGGAATTTCACCATCTTCTAAAGAAGTTTGTTCTCTTTGGTAGGAGAAAAATAAACGATTGTACATTGCCCAACATTGCAAAGTTACTGGATGCAGCCGTATGAAACAGCTGTTAACATTTATTTAACTCAACAAACACATTATAAATTAAATACAACACACCACAATCTATGGAGACACCCCTGTCTTATCCTTTATTGAAAAAAAAAGTACTACAGTTCTGCATTTTAACAGACTATAAATATTAACAATTCTAAAATGTAATAAAAAACTGATATTTATCAACATACGAATACAGTATATTAAATCATGTACAAACCAGAGCAATAGCTAAAAGTACTTATTGTGAGCACTTGATGCAATAGCTGGCTCCGTCTGAATTCTCTAGGGGCAAACATGCTCCAGCACTAACTAAAGAGATTAATTCCCCCTTCAGAAAAAGGCAATTAAAAAAAGGGGGAATATCACCATTTCTATAAAAATACACAAAATATGTATGAATTTGTTGGTACTCTTGCAGCTCATTGAAACAATGCTTCATTCTACTACTATTCTAAAATGGCCTGGACAGATTTGTTAGTACGCCTAGAAATTATAAATAAATTGGATCACAGTGATTTTCTGTAATTAGTATCACACATCTTCTCCTAAATCACCCAGTCAACCGATTTAAATTGGTGCACATGATGATGCCAAACAGCAACCTCACTAAGCATGGACCAGAGAAAGCAAAGGAAAGTTAAATGAGGTGATCAGAAGAAAAACAAAAAAAAAGAATTTGTGGACCAGCATGCCAAAGGTAATGCCTGTAAGACCATCTCCAAGCCGCTTGATGTTCCTAACTACAGTTGCAAAAATTAAGAAGCTTAAAACAGAACATCACTCAAATCAACTTTGAATGCTTGCAGTCCTTCTCCCTTTGCAATATGTAAAGCTGATTTTTTTTTAACCTTGTTTTCATAGTTACATTGATTAACCACTGATTAAAAAAGGGCCTTTTTAATTTTGTTACTCTATGGATTACATTTGTTACAGATTTGTATTACTATTGTATTTATTAGGAGATTTAGATTTATTTTTACTGGATCGCATTTGTGGATATTGACTAGAAATGCACCGAAATTTCAGCTGCCAAAACATATCGACTGAAAAGGGTACTTAAATGCTGAAAGTACAACTTTTTGCCCATAATTGCGGTGCATCTCTAGTTTCTCTATTCCCAGCTGAGCGCTGTTCTCCATCCCCTCTGACATAGAGTGTCGAGCAAAGAGGAGAGAAACTGTCAGGTGGCCGAGCGGGGCGGAGAGTGCCATCAGTGGTGGTGTCACAGGAGACTGAGCTCTCCTCCTACACCACCCCACTCAGCCTCCTGTGATCAGGATGGAGATCAGTGCTGGCAGAAGACAGCTGAGCCGGTGGTGCGGGGGAGGAGTCAGCGGTGTCACAGGAGGCCTCCCCACACACCGCTTGGCCTCCTGTAAGAGCATGTCAGGATGGAGAGCAGAGTAGAAGAGCTCAGCGATCAGGACTGATTTACGATTGTAAACATACTGTGTCCTCAATTATTTACAAGCAGTGTCCCCAATTATGAATGAACAGGAAGTGCTCTACATCACTTCCTTTTCATTCATGATTGTGGACATAGTAACTCATATTATATCCCCAGTTTATGAATGGACAGGAGCACTTAGTATAGAGACTTCCTGTTCATTCAGAACAGGGGCTGCAGAAAAGAGAAGCATCCTGATATTTCACACAGAGCCTCCGACACGAAAGTAAAAAAAAAAAAAAAAAAAAAAGTTCCTCTTAAAAAAAAAAAGTACCTCTTATATTGACGCTACCGGGATAAAATAAGCAGCTCATTCTTGTATACACTTACACTTGTAATACCTCTTTGTTTATCTGAATTCTCTGTATACCACATTAATACCTAATGTTCATAGACTTGTTTGTAGTCCTGAAAAGGGAAATGCAGATCCCCGAAACCTGTAGGCTTTTTCTCTTTAATGGAATTTGCAAACATACACAGGGTTATTCACAAGAGGGTGAAGAGTTTGGAGAAGGCAGGAGAAGTGAACAATCTAGGACAACATAGCTGAACTGGAAAGTGAGCTGAATTACAGAATTTTTCCAAATCAGCTATGTTGTCCTAGATTGTTCACTTCTCCTGCCATCTCCAAACTCTTCAGCCTCTAGTGAATAATCCTGTTACTGTTGTTATCGATTCCTTTTTTTAAAGCTACCTTTAAATCTAGACACTGCCCCTCTCTGCGGTGATATGCTCGCAGAGTCCATTCATCCTGAATAACTCGAGAATATTTTACATTTTTCATTATATACTACAGTTTAGTCTGCACCTTCCTCAAGTCTTCAGTTTCCCTACTTATTCTGATATGTTTTGACACTGTGGTTCTTTGGAATAACTATTTGATTTGCTGCTCCTCTGTTTCGACAAACTGACGCATAATTTTACAGTGTTTGTTTTAGTTTACAGGGTGCTGGTATAAATCTAACAGTCAACACTTTTCATGAAAGAATGACAAACAGCATTTTTGTACTTAAAGTTCTTGCTTTCTAGTTTATTGAGGGACGCAGGATTGTGACATTCGGGTTATACTGCCAACTAGATGGTTGCAATGCAGACCCTGCCAGTAAAAACAAGGTTTTCGATAGTGACTCCAGCCATTTAGCTATAGCATCCTTAACCACTTCAGTACTGGCCTGTATATACCCCTTCATTAGCAGGCCATTTTTCAGTGCTGTGATAGTTTAACAATAACTCGATCATGCACCACTGTAGCCAAAGTGTAAATATAAATATCTATCTTCTTTAGGTGGCATTTAATAATCAACATCTTTTTAAAACTATAATAAGGGGTAAAAACGACAGCAGATACACACACACATATACATATATAAATGAGGACTGTATGAAAACCCCTGAAATTTCCCCTTTTTGGAAAGTAGACATCTCAAATTGATCTCATTTTTTGCCAAAACGTTTTGGAAATAATAAATATGGAATAAAAATGTTGGTATTGAGGGGATTAAAACATGGACCTTGGTGAACTAGATACATTAAACTGTACAGGTCATACACAGAGGGAGGAGGTGAAGGGGTTAATGTATTGGTCACATACAGTGGGAAGATGTAGATGAGGGAGCTAATGTACAGATATGCAGGATAAGGAAGGTGAAGATGTGCATATGCAGCTCACTGCAAATACAGCATGGAGAGCAGATAAGCAGGAGAGAAGGGGTGGTGAAAGGGTTAAAAGCAAATCCACAACTTGCCAAAAAGCCATACCTCCTAGAAATTAATACAACTTACAAATAAAATGTTGGAAAGTATGGTCAGATTATTTAAAATGCATATCTGCAAGAGTAGTAAAAACACTTACTCAAGTTGAAAGCAAAAGTCGGAATTCTCCTCTTCTAAGCTGCTGCTATTACTCTGCACCTCATGCTCTTCTTTTCCAGGCAAAGTCTCCCAGCTTTCATCACTAGAGGAATGATCTTTGTCACCAGAGAAATAGGGGGGCAAACAGGTAGACCATTCTCCATCACTGCACTCAGAGCTGCAAAAGGCATTACAAAAGACAATGTAAACCGATTTGAACCTGAAAGACACACTCTGGAACCTTTACAAAGTATGTTTTGTTAGACTTCCATATGTGTAGACAATGTCTTCCTATTGCTGTAGATGGGATTGCTGTATTCATGGGACAAAGGATATTCCCCCTGAATGTGGGCATTACACACACACACACACACACACACACACACACACCTTCCCCAGAACTGCTCAGCCTATGTAAAGAGAATCCCACCACTGGGTCCTGTTTTCTTATTGTGCATGTGTGCCGTGGCCTCATTTATTTCTGTGGATAAGCCATACTCCACTGGACAGCTAGTGGCTGCCATGAGTACAGCATACCCACGGGAATGAACGGGACCAGATGTAATAAAGGCCGTGCAGTGCTGGGCATGGTTGCACATTGAAAATGGCTGGAACAAGAAGATAGATAAGTATATGACCAGGTGCACTGCATTCAGTGGGGTGTGGGGATTATGTAAAGGACAACTGTTCTAAAGGTACCGTTTTCCTTTAAATGTAGGAGATTTTTAGATTAATCTGTAGATGCAGAGTAGAGAAGCTATTGCAAGACTCAGCCTAACTGCTTTCAAAACATTGAGATAAGATATAAGCCATACAGGGAGTGCATTGTTTTCAGTGAGTCATCTGACTCATAGACTTGTGAGAAGGAGCAGTGAAGCAACTGATGTGTCTTGCAAAGCCGAAAGCTCCCAGTCGGAAAAAAAAAAAAAGAAAAAAAAAAATCAGCTAACTAATCAATTCTAAAAATAATGGTTAGTTGCAGCCCTAAAAGGAGTGTACTCTTCATGTGAATGAGGCCTAAAGGGTTTGTGCCCAGGACCAGTGAGGTACATCTGCATTTTCCCAGCATCTAGGAGGATTTTCCTGAACAAATGACCAACTTAAAAGCAGTTTAAAACACACACGTTTCCTTTAATAATGAATCCAGATCAAACAAATACATGTTGCATGGCAAAGTATTTTACATTATTGCCCAAGCACTTAGTCATCCTGGCTCCAACTCTTAGTTCTGCTTCCCTGAACTTCCTGCCCAGTACAAGATCACAAGGGACAAAGTAGAGGCTCCAGCAAATGTTCATCTACAAGCTTGGAGAAGGAAAAAGGAGAGGGCAGCAGGGGGGAGGCGATTGGCTTGTCCTGCTGTGCCTCTGTGTGTGTGGAGACACACACACAGCTTACTAGCACACACAAGGGTGGCTCCATTAGGACCCTGCAAGGGGAAAAAAAAACATCCTAAAACAGCATATCCGGACCAGTGCTCAGGGGGCCAGCCATCTGGTCATGAATACCACTGCACTCATTTAAGCAGTGCCTGAACAGCAGTTGAAATGATCAATAAAGTTGCCTGTTTGGGCATAAAAGGGTTTAGTTAAAAGGGAGAATTTTGAGGCGAGTGATTTTCACTCAGCCTCATAATCTGAGCCAACCTGTGACAATGAAACTGTCACAGGTCGGCCAGTAGATCGGGAAGTGAGCGAACACATACCACCGCTCGCTAACTTCTCGATCTATCCCTGCAGAGAGCCGTGACCGTCACTCACGGCTCCCTGCAGGGATTGCCCCCTTCCCTGTCCAATCCTCCAGCGCTGACAGACAGGGGAGGGTACAGCTGGCTCTGCCTCTAGATAGCCAGAGCCAGCTGTCAATCACGCAGCTGGGTGGATCTAGACCGTATTGTCGGGATCCGTTCCGGTGTCTTAGTATACCGCGAGCTTTAGCTCGCGGTATACTGAGCTTTAGGTGACGGGAGGATGATAGTTATGTCCTCCCGTTACCCTTAGGAGAACTATGGGGAAAAGCCCGGACCCCATAGTTCTCCTTTAACAGAGATGTAAAGCAAAATATCACTGAAGAGAACAGTAATATTTAATTATTTGTCATCACAAACCATATGTATCCTGTTTACTGCATTTAGGTCAAACACAAATCGGAATATAGAATTATATACAGGGAAAATAACACACACACACACACTTATGGTAGATATTCCGACAAGGCAATGCTTGTCAAAACCCTGACCAATAAATTCATATAAGTTGCTTCATTACAAGACCTGCGAGTGCCTCTTCAACTGGACCATTTGTATCTACTTGCCTCAAGTGCACCCAGGCAGTTTTTTTTACTCTCATCGGACTACAGTGCCCACCATTGGACTTTTATATTGTTGCTCCCCCCAAACATATAATTTAGTTATATTGCTATACAAATATTTTGTTGACAGGTTACACCACTAAGATTTGCAGTGGTTACAGAAAATACAAATGGGGGGCCTGAAGTAGCTAGAGGAAGAGGCAAACATAAAAGTTGATCCCATTAACTAATTTTCCTTAACTAGCCCCAATTTTTTCCTCAACTAGCCCTACTTAAAATGAGCACTATGGAGGTGATTTACACTCAGCCTCATAGTTAGAGCCAACGTGTGACATGGAAAATGACCAGGAAGGGAGCGAACAGATGTCGCTCGCTCACTTCCCGATCATCTCCCTGCACTGAGCGGCAACTGTCAGGCCCTCTGTGATACTCCAGCATTGGGTGAAGGAATGGACAGAGGAAGGGGCAGGCACAGCTGGTTCTGCCTCTCGATAGGCAGACCCAGCTGTCAATCAGCTAGCTGTGCAGATCTCAACAGTATTGTCAGGATCCGTCCCGGCTGCGGTGCTCTCAGTATATAGCTAGCAATAGCTTGCTATATACTAAGCTTTGGGTCACGGTTAGACGTTTGTATATGTCCTCCTGAGACCCTAAAGAGAAATATGGGATTAAAAAGTTTACCCCATAGTTCTCTTAACTTCTTCCTTTTGATGCCCTTGCGGCATTAAAAA